ATTCCCTTGAAAACCTTTCTTACATTGGCAAAGATAACCGGGGCCATTTTTGGAGTGTATGCAATTGGTATTGTTCCCGCAAGCATGGTCGGTGTTGGTTACTCCTTGTGTTTCATCGCAAGATGTATTGCTTCGAATTGCCCAGTCAAGTACTACTGGGGTTCTGAATCCAACGTTTACAAGGTAATCCACATTATTTATTGAGTTCCATAGATTAGAAGCACTTGAGCCAAACCAGTCTTCGTCGGACAGAAAGGCCATCCTGCATTTGCTCATATTCCAAGCGTAGGCTGTGTGCAGAGATTCTTTCTTGTAACTGTCAAATAATAGCCTAAATGAGTCAAGATCCTCCGGTATCACCTTCTGGCAGCATCCGATGCCATCACAACGTATATTTGTCACCTCCGTGTCATGGTGACAAAATGAAACGCATTCTGTGAGCTCTTCTAGGTGATAATAATCAGTCATGATGCCACGTGTGTTACAACCAATAGCTATAAATTTGTTCCGAGAGTTGGAGAACCTATATGCCTTTGGAATTTTGGTGCTGTAATATTCTTTCTCCCCTATAGACATAGTCACAATATACGTCGTGTAGTGTCGATTCTCCCCCATATCACATTCGACAGCAGCCCAGTAGGAGAAAGTTAATTCGCCATCTAGTGATATGTTCAACACAATTTTATCACCATACTCATCACTGTCGGGGCCATACATCATCAGTTGCGGACGATGGTCAGTGGCTGTATTGCAGAACAACTTGAATTCATCTCTATAACAGCTTGGATCATCTCCAACGAGGCCAAACGGGTATGGAATGCTAACATTTCCGCATTTTCTTTGACAATCCAGTTGCTTTATCTCTGGAGATTTTGGCAAGGCTGTTGCAATTGTCATCACCATGATTAGCTGTTATAGATCAAGTGAAGGAACACAGCCAAAGCATTTTTCTGCTTTTTCTTTTCAATTTAAAAGGGATTAACGAAGTTATTTGCGCAATACCTCTCAACCATCTATCTGATCTATTTCACGGCTTGGTTTTAGATTGGCACTTGACGATACTGGGTATTGGCTAATGGCTATGGGTTTCTATATAATTGAAAAATATGATTGACCCAGTATCAGTATGATTTAGTTGGTCACTCGGTAATCGGCATCTCTCCCTCCGAGGAGGCATGGGTTTAAAGCTGTGGAATGGCTGACTGTCAGTTTAGTTGTATTTGTTTGGGGAATCTTCATTTACCCCCATTTCACTATTTTTACTTCGTCATAGAGTTGGGAATGCCGAGAGTGGGGGATTGATGGAAATACAAGAGGTATGGTGTGATAAGTTCGGCTGATGAAAGTTTTAAATGGATGTGAGTGTACAGTAAAGTGAAAATTTGTATCCTATGGAGTCAATGCCACGTTACTTTATTTGCATAAGATTGTGCAAACAAGATGTATACTAAACTGATTCTAGATTGCAACTTTCTTTCCAATTTATTCATAACTACACTTCAAATATACTACAAACAAGAGGTGTATAATAGGTTATATGTAAACCCAATCAAGAGTAAACATGTGGCAGATCCTAAGCCAATAACTAAAACTAATAAGATAAACATGGTCAGAAAATCAAAATATGCACAGATAAACTATAAAACTTAAATAAATGGTAAAAAATATATTAATAACTATACATATAAGAGAATGATTGCAATAAATGTAGGAGTGGAATATAAAGAAAGTGCTAGAATTCAAATTACTCCTTTGTCGGAATGATATGTACTAACCCGTATATGTTGCCAAATTTTAAACCTTGTTCTACCCATCGCCCATGTTGCATTCTTTAGAGAGAGATATATGGTTTAATACACCTAGAATTTTGGTTTATTTAATCAACGGGATGTATCAGTTCGGTTTCACTTAGCCAATATAAAAAACCGACGGTTAACTTAATCGACTGATATACATATATTTCTATATATTTTATATATATTTATGTACATTGTATAAATTTTTATATATATTTGATACTATCTATATATTATAAATTAATAAATATACATTATATATAAATATTCATTTTCATAATATATTATATATTATTATTATTTAAAATATAATATTTTATATATTTCTAGTTTTTATTATATATATTTATATATTCAACCAATTAATTGATCGGCTTTGATTCAGTTTTAGTTATTGGTTTTCCAGAAATTGGTAAGACCGGTTCGGTTTCAATACTAGGCTCACAGTTTGGTTAACAGAATTGTAAGAATCCCTGCTAAAAACCCATTATAAATAAAATAAATTGTATGTATTAATGCATTAAATGGACTACCACAGTCCAGTCCAATTTTGAAAACCATATTTCTGTTTTCTTTCCAGTTTAAAAAGAATTTTTTATGTAATTTTGAAAAATATTTAATACTGATCTTATGTGACTTCAAATCAGCCCCCACAACGTCACACAGCACATCCTGCTGTGTATTAGGAATATCTCACGATCATAATACCAGGAATGATGACATCATCATTGGGACATGTTTCTAATACACGGTGGGGATGTGGTGTAAGACGTTGTGGGGGCAGTCTTTGTCTTATGGGGGCTGATTGTCTCGTCTTATGTTGAGCCTTTTTATATGTGCAGCCTTTTATCTCTTGAAGTTATTTCCACAAGACCTCTCAACTATCTGATCGATTTCACGGTTTGGTTTTATATGTTTTCTTTTCAAAGTAATTTTCTTTTGAAGACCGAGTATGGTTTAGTTGGTCACTTGGCAATCAGTACCCCTCCTTCATATGGGGTCAAAGCTACATTTACATATGATCGTAAGGTGATCATGGGCCAGGCTGTGCCGATCTTAGCACCTATGGATTATGATAAGGGATTATAGCCCCAAGCTTAAAATATAGGCCGGGGCCTAGGTCTAAGCCTAGACCTGGCCTTATTCCAAACTCATGTTTAGCTTGCATGGCTTAACTAGGCTTTGAGCCCATGACACAATATAAGGCATGGGCCTCATCTAATTCGTATACTTGGTTTAGGCTCTCCATACTTTTATAGATTAAGGCAACGCCTTCATTCCCTTTGTAAAGCAATGTGAAACTTGGAACAGTCAATCACTATTCAATGTTGTTTTAAATCCTAATGAGGCCTTACCTCTGAGGACAACTCTCTCTCACATTTGAATTGACTCGTGTGTTGACATGTGGCATATGTATATGATAAAATTTGTATGTTTTAAATAAAATATTTGACATCTAATATGAAATGCAATATATTTGCATATATAACATATAAAATATGGTATAAGTTTATGGAATATTTATACTATTAAGTATGTAATTTATAGTATATCTATACCATCTTTCTTTCTCCTTCCCCTTTCCCACCTCCTCCTTAACCCTCTCTCTCTCTCTCTTCATTATCCCTCCCTATCCTTTACATTAAGTCACATCACTAAGGAGC